CCATAACATGCACGAACTGTTTGGGGAATAACACCGAAAAGACTCGATCCTCGCAGCATCGGTCCGCAAGCACCTTCGAGCATCCGAAATCCTCGATCCTCGTCCGTCCCCGATCCTCGATCCTCCTCGATCCTCAACCCTCCACGACCCTCCACCATCCATCCTCCATACTCGGTCCTCGATCCTCCACGGTCCTCCTCGATCCTCCACGATCCTCCTCGATCCCCCACGACCCTCCACGAATCTCCTCGATCCTCCCTCGATCCTCCCCGATCCTCCCTCGATCCTCGCCGATGCTCCTTAGACGCCCGTATGGGTCGAGAAGCGCCCCGTCCCACGCGCTCCTTCCCGGATTCCTCTTCGATTCTTCCAGTACGGTTTCCTGCATTTTTTTTTTTTTTTTTTTTTTTTTTTTTTTTTTTTTTTTTTTTTTTTTTTTTTTTTTTTTTTTTTTTTTCATCCCTGATCCCCAGAGCCGCCCCTGAACGTATCAGGTGAAGCATTAGAAGCCACACACCCTTCGCCACTGCGCTGTGCAACGGCTCCCAAAAGGGGGCGATGACCGTGAGCATGCCAGCGGCCTCGCGAGCCGCCCTGGTGGCGCCCGCCACGGGGCGGCTCCGAGGGCCCCGCAGCAACTGAAACAACGATTCTCCTGCATCCTTTTGGGGACCTCTCGGACCTGGGGAAACTGCAGGATGCCTGCCCCTCTGCTCCCCGGACCTCTCCCGGGGAGGCGCTCCGACCAGAGTCCCGAGGCGAGTCCAGAGGTGGCGACGAAGGCCCCCCAAGAAGCTGAAACACTGCGAACGCGATGCAAATCTGGCGGTGTCGGTACGGCTACCTCTTAGGTCGGGCGTGTCCTCCCACAGGCGGGTTCTGGACGAAGAACAAAAGAATATAGTCAAACAGATTCAAAAAGGATCAGGAATAGCCGAACAGTCGTGCCTATCCTAGTTTTTGGGACAATTTTGGAATTTGCCTCCAGTAGAGGCACGTACCCGAGCTAAGCTTACTTACTCCTCTGAGGATCCTCCATCCTCCACGATCCTATATCCTCGAGCGGCTGCGGCGAGCAAGCGCGCTCGCGCCTGCCGCCTCGCCGGCGGGGCGCGAGGGCCCGACCTCGCAGCCGAGCGTTGACGTCGTCATCGTCGTGGCAGTCGTGGTCGTGGTCGTCGGCGTGTCGTCGCTGTCGTCGTCGTCGCAGTCGTCGTCGCTGTCGCTGTCGTCGTCGTAGCCGTCGCTGTCGTCGTTGTCGTCGTCGTCGGCGTAGTCGTGGTCGTGGCCGTGGTCGTGATCGTGGTCGTGGTCGCAGTCGTGGTCGTGGTCGTGATCGTGGTCGTAGTCGTCGTCGTCGTCGTCGTCGTCGTCGTCGTCGTCGTCGTCGTCGTCGTCGTCGTCGTCGGTGTCGTCGTGGTCATCGAGCCAGAGAGAGGGAGAGGGAGAGGAATAGAGAGAGAGAGAGAAAACAGAGAAAGAGAGAGAGAGAGAGGGAGAGAAGGAGAGAGGCAGAAGGAACGAGCCCACTCGAAGAAAGCGTAATCTCACCGCACGCAACGCGCTCACTGGGAGCAGAACACAATCCCAGACCTCTGGCGTCGTGCCTTGTTCACAACGTCGACCCACAAAGAGTTAGGATATGCTCTCACAGCAGGCAACGTATCATCGAAAACACTGGGCCCAAAGAAAATAACCTGGCGAAAGACCCAACCGTGCGCAGTTGTGACTACCGTCGCCTTCGGTGAATATCCTTCTGGGGCCACTAAGCGTGTGAAGGTTGTGCCAGACTTGGGCGGGGCTGCCATGCGGGCGCTGCTGAGGCCACGAAACGTGTGAGGGGTTTGCCGAAATGTGCGGGTGAGACGCATGCGGGCTGTGCCACTGGGGCCTTCGGTGGAGCTCCCTGTTGGGCCACGAAGCGTGTGAGCGGTGTGCCGAAATGTGCGGGTGAGACGCATGCGGGCTGTGCCACTAAGGCCTTCGGTGGAGCTCCCTATGGGGCCACGAAACGTGTGAGGCGTGTGTGCCGAAATGTGCGGGTGAGACGCATGCGGGCTGCGCCACTGGGGCCTTCGGTGGAGCTCCCTGTGGGACCACGAAGCGTGTGAGGGGTGTGCCGAAATGTGCGGGTGAGACGCATGCGGGCTGTGCCACTGGGGCCTTCGGTGGAGCACCCTATGGGGCCACGAAACTTGTGATGGGCTGTACCGACATGAATGGCTAGGACGCGTGCGGGCTGTGCCATGGGGCCTTCGGTGGAGCTCCCCATAGGGGCCACGAAGCGTGTGAGGGGTGCGCCGGAATCGCGGTGGAACTGCATGCGGACCCTGCCACTGGGGCCTTCGGTGAAGCACCCTATGGGGCCACGTAACGTGTGCGGTGTGCGTCGGATTGGGGGTGGAACTGCATGCATGGGGCCACGAAGCGTGTGAGGGGTGCGAGGACATGGCGGTGGAACAGAATGCGGACGCTGCCACTGGGGCCTTCGGTGGAGCACCCTATGGGGCCAGGAAGCGTGTGATGGGTGCGAGGACATGGGGGTGGAACTGCATGCGGACCATGTCATTGGGGCCTTCGGTGGAGCACCCTATGGGTCCACGAAACGTGTAACGTGTGCGCCGAAATGAAGGTGGAACTGCATGCGGACCCTGCCACTGGGGCCTTCGATGGAGCACCCCATGGGGCCACGCAACGTGTGAGGGTTGCGCCGACATGGCGGGTGGCACTGCATGCGGACCCTGCCACCGAGGCCTTCCGGTGGAGCACCCTATGGGGCCACGAAACGTGTGAGGGGTGCGCCGGAAGGGAATGGAACTGAATGCGGACCCTGCCACTGGGGCCTTCGGCGGAGCACCCTGTGAAGTCACGAAACGTGTGCGGGGTGCGTCGGATTGGGGGTGGAACTACATGCGGACTCTGCCGCTGGATTGGCGGTGGAACTGCATGCGGACCCTGCCACTGGGGTCTTCGGTGGAGCACCCCATGGGCCAGGAAGCGTGTGATGGGGTGCGCCGACATGGGGGTGGAACTGCATGCGGACCCTGCCTCGGGGGCCTCCAATGGAGCACCTTATGGGCCACGGAACATGTGAGGGGTGCGCCGAAATGGAGGTGGAACTGTACGCGCCCACAGAGGCAAGGGATGGGAGGAGGGAGAAAGGGGAGAAGGAGAGCAGCGAGAACGCGGGGCGCTGTCTCTTCAAAACGAGGGCCCAACACCACAAGATGATTGGCAATCACAATGCTGCGGGGGGCGGCGGGGACGCGTCCTCGCCCTCGGCAGCGGCCGCCGCGGACGCCCCCGCGAGCAGCTGGCCTCCGCTCTCGGTGCCGACCGCGGGTCGCGCGCGGCACGGGCGGCGCCGTGGGGGGGGTCTTCGTGCTCGTTTTGGTCGTCCTCGTCGTCGTCGTCCTCCTCCTCTCCCTCCCCTTCCATCCCTGTTGCTTATGGACAGCTCCTACGTGTCGGGCGCCCAGACGTGTCGACCGGGCGGACAGCCCTGGCTCCTGATCCGCCGTACTTTGGATGATTTTCCGACCTAAAATTGTGTCGGAAATCGACGCCAAAGGAGCCTCAAGGGCGGAAATCGACGCTCAAAGGGGCCTTAAAAGTAGGGCGGAAATTTCCGCCCTACTTTCGAAATCGCCCAAAGTAGGGCGGATCAGGAGTCAGGGAGGGCGATTCGCCTGAGACTTCCTCGCATCTTGCAACCCTGAAGCTTGAAATTTGCAACATGTTCACAAATGGAGGGCGGGTCCTTTTCAAGATGCGGCTCTCGCCTCGGCGCCGCGCACACTCGTCTTAGAAGCTCGGAACGGCTTCGCGGACGGAGGGCAGGTGGTTTTCGATGTCGTTTTGGCATTCGCGCCGCGCGCGCTCATCTTAAGAGTTCGCATCCACTTCACGGATGTAAGGCGAATCATTTTCAGACTGAAGTTCTCGCCAGGCAAGCGCTCACCTTTGCTGTAAAAACTTGCAGCAGCTTCAAACACGGAGGGCGAATCGTTGTCACAATGTGGCTCTCGCCTTGGCGCCGCGCCTTGGCGACTGAAACGTTTGGAACACCTTCATGGGCGGAGGGCGGGTGGCTTTCAACATGTGTTTTTCGCACTAGCGTCGCGCAGAATCATCTTAAGAGTTCGCGACAGCTTCGCGGATGGAGGGCGAGTGGTTTTTACAATGGAATTCTCGCCTTCGCGCCGCGCACATGTGCTTTTAAATGTTGCAATAGCTTCAAACATGGAGGGCGGACCGTTTTCCAAATTTGGCGTTCGCTTTAGCGCCGCGCGCATTTCATCCTGACCGTTTCAACCAGTTCAAGGATTCATATGGTTGAGAAACAAGACCGGTGTACTGGCATCAACTCAGGACTGTCAGGGCGCAGCAATCACGTTGATTCGCTGTGTTGAAGTCCCCTCAACGGTGTGCTGGCAAGATTGAGGATTGCCGGGGCGCAGCAGTCACTTTGATTCTGGGCGCTCACATACCAAGAGTGGCGTTTTGGCACGATCGAAGGTTTTCAAACGATTGTCTCCCAATGGGGCCCCCCCGGGCTTGTCGGGAGCATGGGGGGGGGTTATTGTAACATCGTGATGCGCCCTGGGTTTACACTGGTCCTCCTCCTCCTCCTCCTCCTCCTCATCCTCCCTCCTCCTCCTCCTCCTCCTGCTCCTCCTCCTCCTCCTCCTCCTCCTCCTCCTCCTCCTCCTCTCTCCTCCTCTCTCCTCCTCTCTCCTCCGCCGTCTTTCGGGGGCGCGCAAACATGGATTGGCGATCCATGGATTTGGCGCGCGGTCGCCACATCCATGGATCGGGGGAGACGCCCTCCCCAGAATGCGGCCTGTGCCGCCTCGCTCGGCGGCGGAAACCCGCGATGCCCATGGGAAACGGGACCCGTCGCTGATCCACGCCCCCCTTCATTCCATGCTTGCGATCGCCCGACAAAACGTATTCCGCTACCGCTACTCCCAGAGGACCTATCCGCGGATGCGCTCGGATCCAGAGAGAAGCGAATCCCGCCGAGGCAGCAGGGGAGGCGTGTAGAGGCATCGGGACCTGCTGGAATCCTTGCCTCCTCCCACACCACCGTGGAAGGGCGGGCGGTCGTGACCCGTGACGATGTTTTTTCGGCACCGGAGCCGCGTCAAGACCCCGGGGATCGCCGCCAGAGCTGCCTTCAGTCGGTGGGGGACGCGCCCCCCCACGCACGCAGAAGCCTACGCTCCGCCACTGCGGGACTGGCTCCTGCTGCTGCTCCTCCTCCTCCTCCTCCTCCTCCTCCTCCTCCTCCTCCTCCTCCTCCTCCTCCTCCTCCCCCCCCTCCTCTTTCGTTATTCTCCTCCTCCTCGTCCCCCTCCTCCTCCTCCTCCTCCTCCTCCTCCTCCTCTTCCTCCTCCGCTTCATCCTGCCCCTCCCGCTCCTTCTCCTCCTCCTCGTCCTCCTCCTCCTCCTCCTCGTCCTCATGGTCCTCCTCGTCTTCGTCCATCCCTTTCCTTATAAACAACTCCTCTCTGTCGCACCCCCAGACGTGTCGGTAGGGCGGGCCGGGCGTTTCGCATGAGACTTTCTAAAAGTCTGCAGCAACTTCAAGGATGGAGGTGGGCATTTTCCAACATGTGGTTCTCGCCTTGGTACTGCGCACATTCGTCTCAGAAATTCGCAACAGCTTTAGGGATTGAGGGCGGGTTTGTTTGAAAACATGTTGGTTCTCGCCTGAGCGCCGCGCACATTCTTTTCAAACGTTTGCATCAGTTTGGATTCGCATTGCTGAAATCCCAGGAATCATCTTCTGACATGATTTAGAAGATTTAGAATGGTCAGGACGCAGCAGTCACGTTGACTCGCGGTTTTGACGTCCCAGGAATTGCGTTATGGCAATATTTTAGGTTGTCAGGGCGCAATCATTCTCACTCGCGGTTCTGGCACAATGGAAGATTATTAAAGAATCATCTTCCAATCGGGCTCTTCCCGCAATGAACAACCAACATCTTGTAGGCACCTGTGAGAAGGGAGGCCTTCTTGCAACATCGCTTACGCGCCTTAGGTCTACACCGGTCCTTGTACTTCCCCTCGTCCATCCCCTTCCTCCTCCCTGTCCTCCTCCTCCTCCTCCTCCTCCTCCTCCTCCTCCTCCTCCTCTTCCTCCCCCGTCCCCCTCCTCACTTGGGCGACCTTTGGCCAGCGAGAGGCGCCTCCCTCGTTCGAGGGCGGCGGTCGCACCAGCGGGACTGCCAACAAGGCTCACGGAGCGCTGCGCGGGTCCCGAGTGAAACACGTCAAGTAACACGCGGGGCGCATCGCCGCGCCCCGTCACAACATCCGAGGGTGACACTGGAGGAGTTAGGAGGCAACTACTGGGAGGTTTTCGTCGGAAAGATTAAGGAGGATGAAGCCCCATTTGGGAGCTGTTACGCCGGAAAAGGCCTCGGAATAAGCGGGGCTGAGGCGGATTAAGCGGGATTAAGCGGGATTAAGCCGGATTAAGCCGGATAAAGCCGGATTTCGGACCAGGGCAAAATCAGAATTTGACCTCCCAGGAATTGCATCCGAAGAGGAGGGAGAGAACGGAAGGACGTCGGGGAGGGAAGGCTGAAGGTGGGAGGCGGCAGGAGGAGGCAGCCCGGCTAGCGCAGGGAAGGTGGAGGACGAAGAGGGCGGGCGAGGGGAGAGGTGGGTGGAGAGGGGGGAGAAGAGGAGAGAACGGCGGGGGAGACGAGGAACACGTCGGTCGGAAGAAGCAGGTAGAAGCAGGAAGCAGGAAGGCGGATATGGCAGATTGGGTCCAGGTCCTCCCAGAGAATAACAAGACACAGCAAAAGCATGCCGATTCTTGAAGTAGGAAGGCGCTTGAAGTAGACTTGGATCTGGGAATCCAAAAATACCTACTTTCAACGACCGGCGTGTAGGATGAGGACGAGGAGGAGGAGAGGGCGGAGGAGCTCGGAGGCCTGCAGGGAGAGCCCTTGCAGGCCTCCAGGGTCCTGCAGAGGGCCTCGAGCGTCCAGAGCCTCGGTCCGTTTCCCCCCCTCCCTGGAGGTCCCTGGAAGTCTGTCGAGGTATCGGATGAGGGAGGAGGGAGAGAGGAAGGGAGACATGATGATGCGGAGGAGGAGGAGAAGGAGGAGGACAAGGAGGAGGATGCGGAGGAGGAGGACCAATGAGGACCAGAGTAAATTGAAGATGCATCATCGATGCTGCAATGAACCCTCCCGTCCCAAGTTCCCTCCTCATGCGCCCCATACGCGTCCTCCTTTTCACTACAAGAAGCGCCCCCTTGAAAGACCAACACATTTCGGCCTGACGTCTCGGCGAGAGCGCCACTTTGAAAAGAAATTGATGTGTCTTTTTAGCGCGTAGCCAGGAGCGTGAAAAGCAATGATCACACAATTAAGCGACGTGTCCAACGATACCTCTCTTTCGAAGAAAGACCGTCCCCCCAGCCGTGTAACTGGTCATGAACTTCGCTGAAGACTCAAACCGACAACACCATTTTGGAAAACAATCGCTATGGATCCGTGTATCGCTACGTGCGTTTAAACGCCGGGTCCTTCAGCTTAACGAAGCCTCAGGTGAAAACTCACTTTTGAAAAAGAGCAGTGCTTCATCCTGCCAAGCACTGCGTTCGAAAGCGAAGGCGCACGCGTCCAGGCGAGAACACCATCTTGAAAACGAGCCGCCTGTCACCCGCGAAGCTGGTGCAAACGAAAATGTGCGTGGCCTTGAAGCGAAAACACCATTTTGAAAACGACACCCCTTCCTTCCATCAATATGAATGTTGCCAAACGTTGAAGACGAATGTGCGCGGCGCTGGAGCCACCGTATGGGAACGACCCACCTTCCGTTCGTGAAGATGCTGCGACCTTTTAAAACGAATGCGCGCGGCGCAGAGGCGTGAACCACATTTTGAAGCTATCCAGCCTCCACTCGTGAGGCTGTTGCAGATTTCTAGTTTAAGCGTCGCAAGTGGCGAGGACATCTCACCGAACCACCCGGCCAACTTTACCGACATGCCTGGGGGCGCGACAGGGATGACCCATTCCCCAAATAGGGCCTGCACTTAGGGGTACTGACTGACTGACTTACTTAGTTACTTATTTCTGTTCGAAGGAACTGGTCCTGGATTGCGATCTGGCGGCGATGTTGCCGCCATCGCCGCCCCGTCGCCGCCTCGTCGCCGCCTGTCGTCTGGGCCTGGCTGGCGGTTTGGCGGATCTATTGCCGCCGTCGCCGCCTCGTCGCTGCATAGGTTATCCTTTATGAAAATTACTCCGACGGAAGAACCCCACATAAGAATCCTCTGGGCGAATCTGGAAAAAACCATCACCGTCGTCCTCGTGGTTGGTGAGGCGTCCTGGCTGTCTCTTCTGCGTATATTTCCTCTCGCCTTGGCGCGGGCCCCCCCTTCCACTCCTTACGTTGTCCCCATCCTCGCCCCCCTGTTTGTTCCGCGCCCCGCCACCTCCTCCCCTTCCTGTTGCATGAGCGCGCATGTCGATGTTCCTCGGCGCCGTCGCCGCCACGGCCAGCACAGGCGCGTTCTCTACTGGTCACGTCGCGCAGCCGCTGGGACAACCCCACGGGCCAGGCTGTCGGGACAACCCCGCGAGCCGCTTGCGCGCCAGACCAAGCCGTTGGGACAACCCCGCGGGCTTCGAGCGAGGCGCAGCCGCGCTCAGGCGGAAGGCAGCACGAAGCCCAGCTCTGCCGCGAGCTGCTTCGCCTCCGCCCTGGACAAAACCGCTCTCTTGTCGAACTCCAGGAGCGCCTTCCGCTGGGACGCCGGCGGCCCGCGCTCCAGGAACTCTCGCGGCGGCGGCCGCAGGATCAGCATGTTCCGCATGCACGTGGCGCGGGAGAACATGACGTAGAGGTGCAGCCACCATTGCTCGTCCGACATGCCCGTGCGGCCAGCGTCCTCGTCTCTCGCGCCGTCGATGGTGACGCCCTTGCGCAGCGTCTGGCCCTGCGACAGCGTGGAGGTCAGGTAGGACGCGTGCGTCAGGGTGAACCCCGAGCGGCGCACGCTGTGCGCCCCCGAGCTCTGCCATGTGAACTCCCTTTCGCTGGGCCTGAACATCAGCAAGCTCCGCGCCCGCGCCTCGATCTCCCGCCTGAGACTTCCTCACAATTCACTCAGAGACGAGGCTCCCGCCTGAGACTTCCTCCAAATTCAGGCTTGACGAGCCCAGAAGTGACGACAGTTACAAGGTTCCGATGACCCGCTCGGATTTCCAATGTGATCTGCGGGCCCCATAGGGAGGGGGCCCCCGCCTGAGCCTTCCTCAGAATTCACTCACAGACGAGGCTCCCGCTTGAGACTTCCTCCAAATTCAGGCTTGACGAGCCCAAAAGTGACGACAGTTACAGGGTTCCGATGACCCGCTCGGATTACCAACATGATCTGCGGGCCCCATAAGGAGGGGGCTCCCGCCTGAGCCTTCCTCAGAATTCACTCACAGACGAGGCTCCCGCCTGAGACTTCTTCCAAATTCAGGCTTGAGGAGCCCAAAAGTGACGACAGTTACAAGGTTCCGATGACCCGCTCGGATTACCAACATGATCTGCGGGCCCCATAGGGAGGGGGCCCCCGCCTGAGCCTTCCTCAGAATTCACTCACAGACGACGCTCCCGCCTGAGACTTCCTCCAAATTCAGGCTTGAGGAGCCCAGAAGTGACGACAGTTACAGGATTCCGATGACCCGCTCGGATTACCAACGTGATCTGCGGGCCTCATAGGGAGGGGGCTCCCGCCTGAGACTTCCTCCCAATTCACTCACAGACGAGGCTCCCGCCTGAGACTTCCTCCGTATTCAGGCTTGACGAGCCCAAAAGTGACGACAGTTACAGGTTTCCGATGACCCGCTCGGATTACCAACATGATCTGCGGGCCCCATAGGGAGGGGGCTCCCGCCTGAGACTTCCTCGCAGTTCACTCACAGACGAGGCTCCCGCATGAGACTTCCTCCATATTCAGGCTTGAGGAGCCCAAAAGTGACGACAGTTACAGGGTTCCGATGACCCGCTCGGATTACCAACATGATCTGCGGGCCCCATAGGGTGGGAGCTCCCGCCTGAGACTTCCTCCCAATTCACTCACAGACGAGGCTCCCGCCTGAGACTTCCTCCATTTTCAGGCTTGACGAGCCCAAAAATGACGACAGTTACAGGCTTCCGATGACCCGCTCGGATTACCAACATGATCTGCGGGCCCCATAGGGAGGGGGCTCCCGCCTGAGACTTCCTCACAATTTACTCAACGATGATGAGGATGAGGATGATGAGTGGTGGTGAAGATGAGTGGTGAAGAGGATGATGTTTGATTGTGAGTGGTGGTGGCGATGATGATGTTTGAATGAGGATGATGCCGATGCCGATGATGATGATGATGATGTTCGTGAGCGTGTGAGAGAGTGCGAGTGATGATGATGATGATGA